AAAAAAAAAAAAAAAAAAAAAAAAAAGATGAAAATTCAGATTCCCTCGCAACCCTTTTGTAGTCTTCCATTGTGTCCGAGCAGAAGAGAGGCATATTCGCTAATTTGAAGATGTATCAAGTCTGTATGATAGCACATATTCGTTCAGGTAGACACATGGTTTGCAAGAACATACAGATCCTCTGACGGATTCGCAGTTCAACTGACTGTCTTCTCCACTATCTTCTCCGCAGCCAATAACCCTAGCGAGTTAGAGAAAGGGAAAAAAAAGAGGTAAGTACGTTCATGTCACTTTTGAGGGCACGTTCACACCGCGTACCTAAAAGTACATTTTTAATAAAATTGGGATGTCCATTTGGGGAAAAAGAAAAGTGACCGGGGTGTTCACACTGCTAACCCTAGATAGCAATAGACGGTCGTGGCGGTCTGGTATCTGGGTCGTCTTGCAGTGCTGCAAGTCACACAGCACAGCGTCGACAGCGAGACCCCATGTCCTGTGATGTTTTTCTGTTTCTTTTTTGTTCTGTTTCTTTTTGTTTTGTTTTGTTTGCTTTTTTGCTTTGTAAGGCCCCCATCGCTTCGCCCTTTTTCAATTGTTTAGCGGCCAAAATCCTCTACTTCGATTTCTATTCCATTTTTCTATGCTAATTGGAAAAAAGAAAACGATTTCGCGGTTACCTCTTCAGGGCCCAAGTCCCACTTATGCTGATTCTTCATTTGTGGCCGTCGATCTTGCTGATTGAAACGGTTTTCACCTGTTAGCAGTAGCCGGTGCAGGGCCCAGGGCTCGATCCCTAGTCCTCACTTTACCTGTGTACAGTATCTGTGTCCACCCTGAGTGTTTGAACCCGTGACCTGTGTTTTGATAGTTGTTGTTGTCTGTCGTAGGCCTATGTAGTGGTAGGGGTTCGATCTGTAGATCTGTCAAGTATGAGTCACAGCCCTGCAGAGGTCGTAGCCGCCACAGTCCTGAAAGGTCGAGGTCGTAGCCGCTACGCTACTCAAAAGGCCAAGTCCACAGACTTCCCGAAGGTCCCCAAAGTGGCCTTTCGAAGCTGCCTCACGTTTTAGTCAGAGGCAAGTGGGCAAGTGGGGAGCCAGCTGCATTACGGCGGCAGTGCGACTGCATTGAGTTGGCAGTGCAAGCGCATGCAGTCAGGGGTACCCGTCCGGTCAGTCCCAGTCCAGTCAAGCAAGTACCATGAGGGACTGTGTGCACCATGGGCCGATAGAAAGAGGCAGATCAACGAGTTAAAGAAGCATAAATCAA